AATCAAGAGTCGGACGCTTAACCAACTGAGCCACCCAGGCGCCCAACAAAAGTCTTTATTGATACCTGATTATTTCCTTAGACTACATGTACAGAAGTAGGATTTGTTGGGTTAAAAAAATAGGTTAGAAAAAAAAGTTTTGATACATTTTGATAAAATGATGACCAGAGAGGTTGTGTTAGCTCCTATGGAGCTATCTTGTCTCACCTTCATTAGTATTAGTGTTTTATAGCTTGCTCCTTTGACTGGATAATGGACTAGTCATGATTATCTTTTTATACACCATCGTTTCCAACAGCTGCATAATATTGTTATATATATATATAACTTACCTAGCAGGTTTTCAGTATTCTAAACAGTGGTATGCTAAACATCTTATACATTGTGCCTTGTTTACTTATTTTCTTGGTAGATATTTCCAAAAACTAGAAGCGTGAGGCCAAATGTTTGCACATTTTGAATTCTGTATTTATTGCTAGAAGTTGCAAGCACTTTTACCCCCTTGTGATTCAAAGTGTTTGCTTTTCTGTATCCATAACAATACCATGCTTTAAGTTTTTTTTAATGTTTGTTTATTTTTGAGAGAGAGAGAGAGAGAGAGAGAGAGAGAGAGAGCGCGAGCGAGCACAAGTGGGGGAGGGTCAGAGAGAGAGTGAGACACAGAATCTGAAGCAGGCTTCCGCGTCTGAGCTGTCAGCACAGAGCCTGACGCAGGGCTCAAACTCACAAACTGCGAGATCATGACCTGAGCCAAAGTTGGACGTTTAACTGACTGAGCTGCCCAGGCGCCTCTTCAGACTTTAAAAATAGTTACCAATCTGATGGCAAATTCTGGTACCATAGTTATTTTAATATGTATGTCATTAGTTACTAGTTAGCTTAAACCTATTTGAATTTTATCTGTGCTTCATTTTCTTACTAGCTTATAAGAGCTTTATATACATTTATTATCTTTTCTTTTTCTTGTCATGTATAGTACAGATCTGTGTATTGTATCTGAATGTGTTATTCAAGTTTTAACTTTAAGATGTCTTTACATAGAGAAGTTTTTACATGGGCACATTTTTCATTCTTTCCCCGCCCCCATACTTGGTTAAGTTTTCTTTTAAAACGAATAGCACATCTGTGTATGCCACAGGTGTTCTTTTGGTCTCCTTACAAGTCAGAGAGGAGATTGGTGATGAAGCCTGGACTTGGAAACTGACTTCTCGAGGACCTTAATAGATTATAGAGGAGGGTGGAATGGAATATTTGAAATGGGGAGGATTTTTAGCAGGTGTAGGATGTATGGTCTCTTTCTGCAGGGCATTTCCAATTGAATGGGTCCACAGCTCTTGAGGGTTTGAGAGGTCTCATCTTTTCTCTAACGCCCCGTCTTAGAGTTTTCACTCCCATTAACGCCTCCATCCTCCTTTTCCTGGTGTTGTATAGTTGGTCAATCCATTTCTTTCTTGACATTTCTGGGACCTGTTCTTTCCTCCATGTTTTTTCTTTCATTTACTCCTTTACTGGGCTCTTGACTGTTGCACACCCCTTTCCGTCTACATATCGCGTGTTTCCAGAGCAGTTTCCTCAAACATTTTTCCTTCTGACTGCTTTTGGCCTGTTCAGTAACATATTAAATAAAGAGTAAGTGAGAACTTACAACCCTCAACTTCAAGTGCCAACTCGTTCATCTGCTTGGTCTTGTGTAGTGGAAAGAGGATGGGCTTTGGGCCCCTGGGTGGCTCAGTCGGTTGAGCGTCCGACTCTTGGTTTCAGC